ACCTTAGTCTCCAGAGAGACACCATTGCTCTTGAGTACTTTAGAGAGGTCCCTAACAGCAGACTTTCCCATCACAATACGTTTTTTTATTTCCTGGCTGCTGGTTGCATATTCTATATATATTCTGAGGGAGCATTGGTGGCCTAGTGGCAAGAAGCTATGCTGCAACCCTGGAGGCATGCAGTTCAAGGCCACCAGCTGTTCTGCGGGAGAAGGTTAAGTAATCTCCTCCCGTGTGATTAACTGCCTCTGAAAACCCACCAGAGGGTCAGCTATGAGTTGGTTCCTACTTTATAGTACACAACAACATATATATTCTAACACAATTAAAAACAAGCCTCATTGAGAGATCACTGAATACATATTAAAATGGCAGAAAGAAAACAACCAACTAAGATACCAATTTTGATGAGTATTTTTCTATGGAACTGATATATTGCTAGTGGAATTGTAAAATGGCACAGTCTCTTTGGAAAAGGTATGGCAATTTCCCAGGAAGTCAGTTATTTCTCAACAAGGTATTTACCAAAACAAGTGGAAACATAAACCACTGACATTGAGTAGATGCCTGCCTACTTGTGGCAATCCTCTGCCAGGTTTCTGAGACTGTTAACAGAAGGAGACGGTCCCATCTTCCTCCAGCAGGGACGCTGGCACAGCTGCACACCTTTCTGTTAGCCCTACACTTAACCTCGTGCAGCACGTGGGGCCCATGAATAGAAAACAAAACACAAAAACTGATACTGTGAGTTGGGATCTACTCACTGCTGACTCTCCAGAGGGTTTTCAGAGACTAACAATCAATAGGAGGCCACTGCCCATCTTTCTCCCTTGGACCTGTTGATGGAGTTGCACCACCTGGTAGCACAACTACGCCCTGGGCTACATAGAGAATTGTTGTTGTTGTTGTTGTCGCTGTTGTTATTGATTGCCTTCGGGTCAAGCATGACTCGTAGTGACCCAATGAACAAAAGGCCTGAAGGCCCTCTACAACGATCAACATTTAGCAAAGTTCATAGTTTCCGCAGGAATGTTGTTTAGGAAGTGGTTAGGGGGAAATAAACTAATAGGACTGGATTATGATTTGCCCTCTTCCTTTCCATTTCCAGATGCTAGGTGAGATTATTTAACCATTCTTGCAACTTTGATTTACTTAGATCTCCTTCTTACTATCTCCCCTAGTCCAGGGGATCTGTTGTCCAATCTAGATCCCTGCATCCACCAGTGCTAGAGAGCTAAAATTAGATGAATGGGAAATAACAGGGCCTTTTTCTCTGGGGAGTAAGCAGTTCTTCAGAAACTCAACAGATTTTGTCTTTCGCCTTAGTTCCTCACCCTAGTCATCACCCTTGTCTTCTTGGCAACCAATATTGTTCTTTTTCTCTCACGTATCTTCTGCAAACTAACAATTTAGATATAATTGTTGGAGGGATAGGGATTGGTGGGCTAAGAGTCCTGGCTCTGCATGTCCTGAGGCATGTCCTGTCTTCCCTGTGGGACACTGCTCATCCATGAAAGGAGACAGTGAGACAATAAGGACTCTGAATTAACCACGAGAGAGTTGGTAGTTCAAACCAACAAGCAGCTGTGTGGAAGAAAGATGTGGTAGTCTGCTTCCAAAGAGATCTACAGCCTTGGAAACCCTACGAGCAATTCTGCTCTTACAGGGTTGCTATGAGTAGGAACAGACTTGAAGGCAGTGGGTTTTGGTTTCTGATGTGCTATGATCTTCTAAGGCTGGAAGGACAGGAAGTAGAAGACAACAGGAGACAGGAAGTACAGGCATGGGGAGATATGGGGTTGGATCAAACCCAAGGAAAGAAATGAAGCAGATTGAGAATTGCTTTTTCTCTCAGCTTCCTAGTATACAAACTTTCCTATTGAGTAACTCAACTCAAGGGGGGGAAGATATTTGTCTCCCCTAAACCCGGATAAGGAAGAGATTACAGTGCTTACCAAGCTTTTTTGATTGTGTCCTCCTAGAACTAAGACATTTTTAAACAAGCATCTCTGGTGTAGGCATTTGATTTAGAAAGTACATACTTGTACTGTTAGGTGTAGACAATATTATATGCACTTGACATAACACATACCAGATGTTAAGGAATGTGATCATACATGCAATACTTTTCCAAGGCACCCCAGTAAGTTGTTGCATGCTCCTCAATACCCAGAAGGCTGGGAAGGTGTTGGTAAAAGCCGTCATTGCTAAGTAAGCCCAAGGAGTGAGAGCTGGAGGAGTGGTCAGCGGAGAAGCTGAAACCTCAGTGCACAGAGCACGGAACCAGAGCTGAAACCTCAGGGCGCAGAGCAGAGCACGGAACCACAGGAATGAGCGAGCCCTTCCTGCTCTACGTTTCCCTCACGTGCTCTTCCTTCCTTATGCTGCAGGTTATCTTTAAATGGGGACAATTTCTTAACAAACACACAGTGGCCAAAACAGAGAGAGAGAGAGAAATTCCAAGAGAGGAACAGAGAGAGTAAGGGGAAACCAGAGAGACAGAGAGTAAGGGCTGAAAGACCAGCATGAGAGGGAGAATTCACCAGGGATGCTGGAAGTCAAAAGCTGTCTCCACAGAGAAAGGAGAGAGCTGGTAGGAAAGTCCTGGGGTCAGGTCGAGAGGGGAGGGGGCTCCCTGGAGTCTCACCCCAGGAACTATGCTTCCAGTAATCACAATACTCCACATCCTTCTGGGGCTTTGGGTAGAAGATGTAGGCACAGCCACACTCCTTGATCATGCTCTCCTGGAAGCAGGAGTGAATGCACACCTAGAAGAGAGGAGGAGGGAGGATGGACCACCCTCTCCCCCACCCCACAGTCCTGGCAGGGAAGTCTCTGCACCACACCACCAGCCCTCTTTACACAGCCTCCTTGCCACCCACCCCCATTATGCCTCACCTTCAACTTCCTCCCCTACAAAACAAACACTCTACATCCTTGATGGGCTGCCAGGTGCTCACCTGCTGAGTGTACTTGGAAGAGTAAAGGTTCTTGACAGGGACGTCGCTGCCATTCTCAGTGCAGTCACCATAGTCACCCCCAAGTCTGTCCAGGGCTTCCTAGTAACCCACACCAAGAGGTGAGAAGTCAGAGCAAGTAGTTCAGGCGCCTGCCTGGATTCTGGCTTTCCTTCATCCCCAGGAGTACACCCTGCCAACTTCTGTCAGCTCACCATCTCAAAACATGTGTCCCCAGAAGCCCCCAGTGCCCATCTGATGCTACTTCAAAGGACACTTGTGCCTGCCCTAAACACCCTGGCCCCTTTCTCAGCCCACTCAGGGCCCTACTTACCAAGGCCCACTCTGCTAACTCCCTTGTCTCTCTTTTCAGTTCCTAAAGACCTCCACATGCACAATGCCCACCCTGCATGGCCTCCCTCCACAGCCATCTGGAGGGAAAGTTCACCTGCCAGGCCCTCTGTAGCCTGGGCTCTCTTCCTGGGGCTCTCAGCCAGCGTCCTTACCTTCCTCATGCTGATGGAGGTCTCCACGCCAGGCCGCAAGTTAAAGCCACCATCATCCATGAAGGCAGGCTCATCCTGCCCATGTACCATGACCCTGGCCCCCGTCACTGTGGACAGGAGTGGGATGAAGTCCTTCTGCTCTGTGCGCAGCACCAAAGACAAGCCTGGAGACATGGAGGAACAGTGGGAGAACAAGAGAAAGCACCGTGGACCCGAGTTAGGGGATGGACACGCATCCTCCCTAGTCTCTAGTGCTCCCAGGCGACCATGGTCAGGAAGCCCCACAAAGGGATCTGGCCACCCACTGGTGGCACAACGGTTGAAGATCAGAGGCTTGCAACTCCCAGCCTCACTGCAGGGGAAAAGACTGGGCAGTTGGCTTCCATAAAGATTCCAAACCAAACCAACCAGCCAATAAGGGGATTCATAGAAACCAGATTCTAATTGCTCCATACCATGCCAGCGCTATAAATCTTTACAGAAACAGCCACATCTTCTTCCTGTGGAACAGCTGGTGAGTCCCAGCTGCCAACCACTTGGTTAGTACTCAAATATCCAACCACTGAACCACCAGGGTCAAATTCATAGCAAATTATGAGCAAACGGCCAAATTATGAACAAATTAATAAAGTTTACATCTTAGGAAACTCTATGGGGCATGTCTCAGTCACTGAGTGAAATACTACATTTATGTGGCTTCAACACACTGATACTTGCTTTCCCACAGCTTAGGAGACTAGAAGTCAAATTCAGGTCACCAGCACTAGAAAAAAGCTATCTGTGTCAGATTTGGAGGGAGGTACTTGTCTCTCTGAGTTAATGACCCACGGTGACCTTCATGTGGCTTCCTAGGCTCTGCTTTCTTGTTTAATCTCTTTTCTTTTTAAGAGATTGATACATGATACACCCTACTCTAATCTTATCTCCTCAACATCACAGAGGCAATCATTCTGAAAGGAGATTCAGCGGCAGGACTAGAGGCTAGCATTTACAGTACATGATCTGGGAGGAAACGATTCAATCCATAACAGAGCAGTTTTACTCTGCCTTATAAAAATCGTCCTAGGGATCTCTGATGGCATAACTTGCAGCGAGTTGCACTGCTAACCCAAAAAATCTCCAGTCTCCAGCAGTTTCAATCCACCAACAGCTCCACAGGAGAAAGATCTCCCATTAGATTTACACTAGACTAGAAACCAGATAGAGGGTCACAGAGAGAGAGTTCAAACCAACCCAACTCCAGTGAGTCTGAGCTTTTTAGATGAGAAACAGCACAACAACAGAAGGCACATAGTGTCTCTACTTATAGGGTTGCGAACAGATGGCTCTCAGAGGGTTGGCAGGTAGCCTGAGCACCCCTTGAAGTGGGGTGTTCACCAACGAACATTTTCTACTGGTTATTACAGTTTCCACAATCAGCTCTGAGAAATCGTTCAGCAATTGAAAACTAATTGCTATATTGCTATCATGTACCTTCGAGTGAGAACTCACTCCTAATTGGTCCTTCAGCAGGTTTTCAGAGGCTGTAAACCACATGGGAGGAGACTGCCCCTTTTCTTCCCACAGAGCAGCTGGTGGATTCGAATTGTATGTGTTTGGGTTAGCAACACAAGTCTTTCCACTCTAGGCCACCAGGGCTCCCTTCAAATACTCAGTTGGTTATGAGCTCAAAATCAGTAAACAGCCTGGGCGGTGGGGCAGGTTAGGACTGAGGGGAAGGCAGAGGTGCTCACCATTGTTGATTCCAGGCAGGGAAGACATCCAGAGGTTGGAGTTGTTCTTGTGATTGAAAGTGTAGCAGTTCCCATACATCGGGTGGTAGAAGTGAGAGTAGTTCCTTATCAGGACAGAGAGGAATGTCAGAGAGAGTGTAGGGAGTTATAAGGAACAGGGCAGTGAGGCAGAGGAAACCACTCCCTCAAACTCCTGCTGCACATATGTCTTTCCGAGCCATCTGTCTCCTGTCCCCTACTATGTGCTGCAAAATGCTAGAAGCTTTACACAAAGTCCCTCAGGCATTTCTCCTGTGAGGGTCTCATCACTACGTCACAGAAGAAGAAGCTAAGGTCAAGCAGCAGATCCAAGGGCACATACAATCAAAGATGGTGAACCTGGGACTCAAACCCAGGCCATCTACCCTCTAGCCCAGGCCACCCAGCCTCAGCAGGCCTGACTTAAATGCTGCCTCATGACCTCTCGTGTTGCATTATGAAAACTCTTGCAGTAACTTGTCACACATTTTAAGTCTTGATTCCCTAATTGGACTGTGAGTGAACCACAGCTCATTCATCTTTATATTCTTTTCATAACCCCTCAGCTAATTGCCCAGCTCTTGCCATATAGGAGATAGTTCCAGAATATTGTTGGATGAATGAAATGGAAAGATAGAGTGGGATGTGGTTAGAGGAAAGAATGGAACCAGTGGGGAACACAGAGCTGAAGGAAAGAAGATCAGATCCCAGGGCAAGAATAAGGCCAAGTGTTGGCCAAATCCCAGATTACAGAGCAAAACTGGATAATGACAAATTTAAAGAGAGGGGAAGGAAGCGTAGCTGTGGTATTGCTGCAAAGGAAATGCTAAGAGCCAATGAACAATCCAAGTGCTGAAAGGATTTGAAGAAAAAGCTATAGAGTGAGTAGAGAAGGGCGCCAGAGCCCAGCTTCCTGTGAGAACAGACAGATAAAATGTTGAGAGTAGCTTTGAGTTAAAAGTAACAGTTGCTGTTGTTGTTGTCGTTGTTGTTGTTAAGTGCCATCCATTCTGCTCCATCTCATAGCAATCCTATGTACAAAAGAATGAAACCTTGCCCAAGCCTGTGCCATCCTCCTCACAATCTGCTATGCTTAAATCCATTGAAGTCATATGTATGGAGCTAGTAAAAGGTAAGGTCAAACGAGACTGGTAAAAGTAAACATATACATCCTAAGCATATTAAGACAATTTTCTAGGAGAAGCAATGTGTATGCTGAGCAAATTATTTGAGAAGCTGAAATCTATGAAGAAGAATGTGGCATCACAATGGAGGAAAATTCACCAATAACCTGTTATGCACAATCTTGCTAAAAGTGAGGAAGATTTGAAGTATGTGTTGCAAAAGATCAAAGACTAGAGTGTTCAATACGGATTACATCTCAACATAAAGAAAACAAAAGTTCTTACCACTGGACCAATAGGTAACATCATGATATGAAGAAAAGATTGAAGTTGTCAACAATTTCATCTTACTTGGATCCACAATCAACACCCTTAGTACCAGCCGTCAGGAAATCAGGAGACACATTGCACTGGGAAAGTCTGCAGTCAAACCTCTCCAAATTATTGAGGAGCAATAATTTGAGGACTAAGGTGTGTCTGATTCAGGCCATGGTCTTTACAATCACTTGCTATGCATGCATCTGAGAGCTGGATAATGAATCAAGACGACTGAAGAAGAATAGATACTCTTGCACTGAGGTGTTGAAAAGAGTACTCAATATTCCATGTTGTTGTTGTTATATGCCGTCAAGTCACCTGCGACTCATAGCGACCCTATGTACAATAGCTCTGAACCCTGTGCTATTCTGAGCCAGTCTCATTGACTCTGACACACTTAATCCCATTGCCCCCGTTATCATGTCAATCCATTTAATCCAGGGTTTTCCTCTCCTGGGCTGTCCCTCTACTCTTCCAAGCATAATGTCCTTCTCCAAGGACTGGTCCCTCTTGACCACATGCCCAAAGTATGTAAAACAGAGCTTCAAAATCCTTGCCTCCAAGAAGAAACTTGGTTTCACCCTCTCCAGGACAGACCTATTTGTTCTCCTGGCAGTCAATGGTACGTTTAAAGTTCTTCTCCAGCACCACAACTCAAAGGCATCAATTCTTCTTCTGTAATCCTTAGTCATCGTCCAGCTCTCTAAGGTATAGCATGTAACTGCAAAGACAAATGGCCTGGATCAGGCAAACCTTCGTCTCTAGATTGACATCATTTTTCCTAATCACTCTGGAGAGGTTCCTGACAGCAGACTTCCTCAGTGCAATTCACCTTTTGATTTCCTGACTGCTAGTGCCAAGAGTGTTGATTGTGGAGCTGAGCAAGCTGAAACTGTTAACCTCAATCTCTTCATCTATCATGGTGCTGCCAATTGGCCCAGTGGTAAGAATATTTGTCTTCTTGATGTTGAGCTTCAATCTATATTGAAGGCCACAGTCATTGACCCTCTGCAGCAAATGCTTCAGATCCTCCTCAATTCCAGCAAGCAATGTTGTATCATATGCATAAAGCAAGCTTTTGATGAGTCGTTCTCCAATCCTCATGTTACACTCATCCTTATGAAATCCAGCCACTTGAATGATCTGTTCTGCATATAGATTGAAAAGATATGGAGAGAAGACACATCCCTGACTTAATGCTTTCCTACTTTTGAACCAATGTTTCCATGCTCTGTTATGATGACTGGCTCCTATTCTAAGTGTAGGTTTTGCATGAGCACAATCAAGAATTCTGGGATTCCCATTCTTCTCCAAGTTAGCCACAATTTGTTGTGATCTACACAGTCAAATGTCTTTGCATAGTCAATGAAGCACAGATACATTCCTCTGGTATTCTTTGCTTTCAGCCAAGATCTGACATTAGCGATAATGTCTCTAGTGCCACAACCTCTTCTAAAGCCAGCTTGCATTTCTAGTAGTTCTCTATTAATGTACTGATCCAGTAATTTTTTAATAATTTTCAGCAGGATTTTGCTTGTATGTGTTATTGTTTGATAATTCCCACACTCTGTCAGATCGCCGTTTTTTGGGTTTTTTACTGCCAAAAATAACAAAAAAATAAGTGTTGGAGATAGTACAGCCAGAATGCTTCTTGGATGCAAAGATGATAAAGCCTCATCACACATACTTTGGGCGTGATGCTAAGAGAGGCTATTTCTTGGAGAGGGACACCAATACTTGTTTCAGTGGAGGATCAGTGAAGGAGAGGAAGACCCTCAACCAGGTAGATTGACACAGTGACTGCCACAATGGGCTCCAGTGTGTCAGGAAGTGTGAGGAAGGCACAGGCTAGGACAGGGTTCTGATCTTTTGTTCATAGGGTGATTCACACTTGGCTTGACAGCACCTAACAACAACAACAACAACAACAGGAGAAGTAGTATAATAAGGTAGTTAAGAGATGTTGCCTATTGGTCTAGTGGTGAGAATTTGTCTTCTTGATGTTAAGATGTAATCTATATTGAAAGCTGTAGTCCCTAACTTCTGCACCAAGTCCTTCAAAAATTTCTTCAAGTACTCCCCACTTCAAGCAAGTAAGGTATGTCATCCACATAATGTATGATATTGATGAGTCTTGCTCTGATTCTGATGTAACATTCTTCTCTACAGAATTATTTCAAATTATTTGTGCAGCATACAGATTAAATAAATGTGGGGATACAACCGTGTTACATACCTTTCCTAATTTTAAACCATGTAGTGCTCCCTTGTTCTGTTCAGACAACTGCTTCATGATCTAGGAATAGATTTCATGTGCACAATTAAATGATCTGGGATCCCCGTTCTTAATTTTAGCCATAATTTGTTATGATCCACACAGTCAAATGCCTCTGCATAGACAAAAAAAAGCATAAATAGACATTCTTCTGGTATTTTTTTGTTTTCAGCCAAGATCTACCTGTCATCAGCAATGACATTCCTAGTACCATGGCCTCATCTAAATTCAGCTTGAACTTTTGGCAAATCTCCATCAATAAGCTATTCTAGCCACTTTTAGATGACCTTCAGCAATATTTCACATGTGATATTAATGATATTATTTTATAATTTCTACTTTCTATTGGATCACTTCTCTTGGGAATGATAGCAAATACGGATCTTTTCCAGTCAGTTGGCCCGGCAGCTGTCCTCCAAATTTTATATTGTGAGATTTAAATAATACTTGGAATTTTTTTTTAACTTGTGTACAGTTGAATCGGACCCAACTGGCACAGGAGGAGATTGCCCCTCCTCCTGTGGAGCATCTGGTAGATTTGAACATGAGCCTTCAGGACTGCAGTGCAGCTTCTTGCCACTAGGCCACCAGAGCTCTGTAATACTTAGAATTCTTAATGTTGGTTTTGTGTGCTGTCAAGTTGAAGTCAACCCATATCTGACTCTCCAGCAGGTTTTCAGAGGCAGTAAATTGCAAGAGAGGAGATGGCTCATTCTTCTCCTGTGAAGTAGCTGATAGATTTGAACCATGTGCCTTTGGGATTGCAGTGCAGTTTCTTACTAATGGACCACCAGAGCTCCCTAATACTTAGAGTTGTCATTGTTCTTGTGTACCGTATGGTTGGAACTGACTGACAGCTGACACTCCAGCAGGTTTTCAATGGCAATTAATCATATGGGAGAAGATGGCTCATCCTTCTCCCACAGAGCAGCTGGTGGCCCCAAATCACATGCCTTCAGAAATGCAGAGCAGTTTCTTGCCACTAGGCCACCAAAGCTGCCCAGTGTCTAGTAAATAGTAAGAGCTATGTTAGTTTACCATTAAGATTTTAGAATGGGAGAATGGATACAACTGAAAAGACAGAAAATAATAAGTGTTGGGAGATGTAGAGAAGTTAGAACTCTTGTGGTATCTTGGGTCTGAGGTTAAAAAATGCTTTACCAGGCCATTGCTTTTGGCTTTCACCACATGGCTGGCCAGGAACATATAAATAGGGTGTAAGTCTATTCATGAGGGGATTGGCCAATTTGGCCATTCCACCATATTTAAATTGAGCCAATTCAGTAAAACTAGTAGTCTCACTACTAGTAAGGAAGAAGCAGAGAATGCAGCAAGAGTCCTTTGGTGCCAGAAATTCCTGACCAGTCTG